CCAGCCGGACTTGAACCGTTGACCTTGACTGTGGAGAGTATGGAAGCTTAACCGCTAAGCTATGGGACCCACACCCTCCAAACAAATTATTATTATTTTATTATTATTATTATTATTTATTATTATTATTATTATTATTATTATTATTTTTATTATTATTATTATTTAATATTAGTATTCTTATTATTGTATTATTATTAGTAGTAATTACTAAAACTTTCTAGTCACTTAGTAATCACTTAGTTGCTTAGTTGCTTAGTTACTTAGTTGCTTAGCTACTTAGTTACTTAGTTATCTAATAATTAGTCTTTTAATAATCATTAGTTATTAGTTACTAAAACCTTCTAGTTACTTAGTAATTACTTAGTTACTTAGTTACTTAATGCTTAGTTGTTTAGTTATTTAGTTACTTAGTTATTTGGTCACTTAGCTGCTTAGCTCACAAATATATAAATCCTACTAAATTCTTTAAGTCTAATTAACTAACAGATATCTTTCTTTCTTTTAATATTATAAACATATCTTAGAATTCTTTAAAACCAAAAATTTAAAAATAGTCTTTTTTGTTACTATTTTAATAAACAGATTTTAACTATAAACTAAATTGATACTCCTCTTCTAAGATAATTTCTACAAGCAAGATTTATTTTCTTTTTAGTAAATAAAATAAAGTTATTAGTACTGCATTACTTAACTGCCTTAGAGAAAGATATAGTTTTTTGACAATATCTAACAGAAGCTATACTTCTTTCTTGAATACTATATATACTTGTAAAGAATTTTTTGTACTATTTTATCATTATAGTGTAAAAATTAAGACTTTCACTTATAATAGCAATAATAACATTTTTGCATCTAGCTTGTAAAGTACTTATTTAGAAGAGTAATTGAATTGTATAAAGCAGTTTTATTTAAATATATAAAGACAGAATTTGATTAAAAATATAATCTAAAGTAACCAAAAACTAAAATAGTAATAAAAATAGTAAATACAAAAATAGAATATAATAAAGAATTAGTCTTACTAATTAAGAAGCATCTTTGACAAACTATAACAGAAATATTATAGAAGACTAATATATAAAGGTAGTTCAATTTTTAAAGTATATTTAAAAATACTAAGTCAAACAATAGCTATACCTATATAAAAATCTATAGCAAAGAAATCTAGAAGCTACTAATCTTTAAAGTCTATAAAATTTTTTTTTTTTTTTAATATTAATAGTGATGCTATACCTCTATCTTTACTGAATATTATATAGAAGACCAAGATAATAATGGTTAATCCAAAGTACAAGACAGACTATAGTATCTTGCACAACTGTGAGAGTCAAACATACAGTAATCAGTTCTGTAGAAAACATTTTACAAGATCATTTTCAATATCTTTAGCTTCATATGATCTTGATATATATTATATCAAATTTCTTTTCTATTATAATATTTCTTTTCTTCCTTGCAACTAAACTATTCAAACCTTTATACAACATATCGACAAACATAATTCCAATCAAACTGTTACTAGCATTACATTCTTTATTAATAATAATTATAATAAAACTTATATTACTTTTCTAATGACTTACTTTTACTTAACTATATTATTATTTTCTCTTATCTTCTTCCTAAGTTTTACAACCTCTCTCTTAAATTATATTTTTCCAATTCTACTCCTATTTTATCAAATACACTTACACAGAATATATATAATTTATATCTTAAAATTACTACACATAATGTTAGAGGTTTTAATATAATGCACGACACTTAAAAACTACACAAATTTTAAAAACTAACAACTTTTGATATAAAGATAATACTAAAAAAAAAAGCTGCTATTTTGTAACTAAATCAATATACTACAACTTAGTAACTTTATTTTTTTAATATTGATTATTTATTTTTAACTTAATTCAATTTAAAAAGTTACAAATTTTATATGTTAGTATATAAAATTGGTCAAAATGGGACAAATACATCAACCAATTAAATTAAATATTTTGAGTATAACATTTTGATTGGTTAATGAAAGCACATGACAAATGATAGCTGTTATAAAGATCAAAAAAAAGTTTTTTGCTTTTACACAAAAATTTTAAAAGTTTGATAACCCATATATGAATATAATTAGTGTGTAGCTTTTTAGTAACTAACTTATATACAAACCAATTTGTGTGTGGCTCCTGAGCCTGTGTAGCTTGTGTAGCCCTAGAAGAGCCTATATAGCTTGCTTGGCCCTAGAAGAACCTGCATAGCTTGTGTAGCTTTAGTATTCCAATATGAAGCATAATCTACTTAAACACATGTATGTATGAATATACCTCTTATGTGATAAGAATCTGCATAAGAAATACAATTTTAGGTATTTTAATAAAATATGATGAAGAGAAAATTAAATAACATAATCAAAAAATATAATAAATGAAGAAAAGAGCTAGCAGAGAAAAGATGACAAAAGGAAGGAAAAGTTAAAAGAAATGTTAAAGAGAATGTTTGAATGAATGTTGAAGAGGATGTTGAGATGAATATTGAGAAGGATGTTGAAGTGAATGTTGAGAAGAATGTTGAGGTGAATGTTGAGGAGAATGCTGAGATAAATGTTAAGATGAATGTTGTTATAAATGCTAAGAAGAATGTTGAGGTGAATGTTGTTATAAATGCTGAGGAGGATGTTGAGGTGAATGTTGAGAAGGAAGCTGAGGAAGAGATTGTGCAAGATTTAGAAGAGGATAGTGAGCTTAATATGGAGAAGGATAATGAGAATGGAAACAATGAAGATAAAAAAACATACAAACACTTACTTACTGTAACTCCTATATGCAAAATAAAGGAAAAAAAGACAAGAATGGTAAAAGAGTTACCAAAAACAACTTATTATTATAAGTTTGGTGCCTCTGGCATTCTTATCAATGTGGCTAAAGAAACTCATAAGATTACAAGTTTTTTTAAAGCTGCAAAGTTAGTGAATTTTTCTTATTTGTTATTAATTTGCCAAAATATTTTAGGCTTTATCACAGTTACTAACACTAATTAAAAAAATTTTTAAGTGATTTTAGTGCATCTTCAATAAATGAAGTATTACCTATCATGGCATATGAAGGAATTAACCAATTTCATGAATATTTGGTAAAAAATAAATGTTTAATTACAGCCTCTGAATATAATGAATATCGAGCAGTTTATGAGTACCTTGTATTGCTAGAGAGCAGATATAGAAAAAAGAAGCAAGTAAAGAGTCTGCATATAAAACCTACATTAAACCAAACCATATACATTCAGAAGAATTTAGTTTTTAGCCAAGTATTATTTGTATCATGGTTTATTTCCACTTTCACAACATAGTAAACATCAAAAACACAAGCGACTTGTTGATAATGAAGACATTGCAATGCAATGTAAACAGTAGATATGACAAAATTCTGAAGTAAATGGTGTTGATTCATCTGAGTTTCAAGAATATGTCAATGACATTATTCTTTCAGAGCATATAGGAGGAACAAAAAAAACAATCAGCTTGTGGACAGCTGAATAGTAGTTAAACATTTTGGGGTTCTAATTTAAAAGATACTGGCAAGATATATATAAGTCTGTATTATAAAAATTATATTTTTACATTACATTTATTATACAGATTATGGTAATTTTGTAATTCTAGGTATGTACCTTGATGAATATGAGCAGAATGATGTAGTAGTTTATCGAAAAAAATTTTTAGAAAAAATGACAATTTTAGAACAGCAAATGGTGAGGTATGATGGAAATAATATGCACACATTTTAGGATAATTTTAATCAATGTTGACTGCTAAAATATTTTGATCTGCAAATAGAATAATAAAGCATTTTTTTGCTATATGTAAAAAATTGATTTAAATAATTTGTAATTATTAAATAATTGTTAATAAATTAAAAAGCAAAACTATATATCTGTAATAATTTAATCTATTTCAATATGAGTGCTATTAAGAAAAAATCTGTTATTAGGCTTTCATTTATATTTTGTATCTAGTTTTTTTTTCTGAATGCTATCTAGAGAAATTTTGTTATAGGGTTTTCAATTACATTATGTAAGAAGTTATTACAGTACTCAAAGAACAAACTGGGCACAAAATATAATTGAAAGCCTGATAATAAGTTTTATCTCATATATAAAGCATTTACAATATCTTTTAAACTGTTAATTTAACTATGTATCTACTACAATTTAGACTACAAATCAATATAATTTGATAGCTTAATCACAGATCAATCATGAAATTTTTAGACAAATTTGTCTGAAAAACAGTTTAGAGAATAATAATAGAATGATAGAATGTTAATATTGATTTTAATGATCTTTTTAAAAAAATTTTAATTAAATTTTTTGTTATTTCCAGATATGAAGAAGACAACATAGAAAAAATTCCTCCAGTACTTAAACAAAATAAATGAGAATTAATCTTTGTAACACATGATAAGAGTGTTTTTTATTCAAATAATAGAAAACAAGAGATTTGGGTACTAGATAGGAATATGTCATTGCAAAAAAAAGAAAATGGAAGATTAATTATGGTGAGTGAGTTTCTTTTAGAAGAATGTAGTCAGTTGAAATTAAGTGAAGTAGAGGCCTGCATTGGGTCCCACAGCCTGGCCCGCAAATTTTTGCAGGCCAGGCTGGGCCTGAAGCAAAATTTTATAATTGCAGACTGGGCCAGGCTAAAAAATTTGCAAAACTTTATAATTGTGTGCCAGTGCAGGCCTGAAAATTTGTAAAATTATATAAGAAATTTTTGTAGGCTGGGCTGGAGAAAAAATTTAATATATGCAAGCCGGGCTGGGCTAGCAAAAAAATAATAACTCTAAATGTGGACTGGGCCAGGCCTAAAAAAAAATTTTAACTCTAATTGTAGGCCAGGCCTCAAAAATAGGCAATTTGCAAGCCTCTAAAGTGAAGAAAAGGCAAGAATGCATCTGAACATTCCCATAGAAGCATGCTGCTATCTAATGCTTGGAAAAAACCAAGAAGGTTTCTAGAGAGTCAATAATTTGCTAGAACAAATTAGGGATAAAGCAATCTCTATTTTTGAAGCAAAGTTTCCTAATGCAATGGCCATCTTTGCCTTTGACAATAGTACAAACCATGGAGCATATGCAGAAGACACTCTTATTGCTGCAAGAATGAATCTAAAACCTAAAAGAAACCAACCAAAAATGTGATCGACAACTTTTGTAGATGCTGATGGATATCAAAACACCCAACATATAGTATTTGATAAAGACTATAGATTCGAAGAAGATGTAGATTATAATGAAAATATGTAAGAAGAGTCAAAAGATATTAAATTAATATTAAAGGAAAGAGGGCTTTGGAAGAATGGGTTGCTTTTAGAATGTAAAACATGTAAGAATAAAAAATTGGCAAAAGATAATTTACAAATAGATTGTTGTACAAGAAAAATAATAGCATCTCAACCCAATTTTATTGTACAAAAGTTAGCAATTATGGAACTAATAGAAGGTGCAGGTCATTTATATATTTTTTATCCAAAATTTCACTATGAACTCAACTTTATCAAAATGTATTAGAGGGCCACTAAGAGATATGCTAGAAATAATTGTGATTATACTTAGGCTAGTTTGCAACAAACTGTTTCTTGTGCATTAGATTTAGTTGATATTATTACAATAAGGAAGTTTGCTCAAAAATCATAAAGATATATGGAATTGTATCATGAGGGATTGATAGGAAAATTAGCTGAGTATGCCTGTAAGAAATTTAAATCGCATAGGCAAATACCAAAGAATAAGCTATCTTTATTCATTCAAGAAAATAATGACAAAGCATACAATAATAATAAAAGGTCATAATAGGATGTTTAGTAGAAAGAAATAATATAATAATCAATTGTTCAATAATTAATCATAATTTTTGTTATTTATAATTAATTAGAAATTGTACAGCTTTATTTGGTTCATTCAACTCCACCTATTTTATTCTCTAATCAGTTTACAGTCTAATTTGATCAGTCTTGATGAATGGACTTTAAATTTTTCAAATTTAAATTTTTTGAAGGTGGTTTTTTTAAATTTAAATTTTTTTAAAATTTAAAAAATTTTTTTTTTAATTTATAATTTTTTTTTAAATTTAAATTTAAGATCAAAAAGGTAAAAATAAATAACATTTAGTGTAATTGTGAAGTTCTTAACTTTTTCATATCATTATGTTGAAAGTTATTATTTAAATTTATTACTAAATTTTGTATATAATACTATATAAAAGCTATTTCAGGTTTGGCCCTGTATTTCCTGCAATCTGGTTTGATGCTATTCAAAAGATCAAAGAAATTGAGTCCATAAACCATCTAGCATGATTGTATTCAAAACCTTGTATAGTTTTAAAGATAATTCTCAAGATTTATAAAAAGTTAGTTATTTATTGTATGGTTTATTATAGAGTGTACCAGGGCAACCACCAAAAGTCTGGATTAGAAGCCACTGCATAATTTCTTTAAAAATTATTAAATCATTTAACTTCTGCATACAGCTAAATTAAAATATGTAACAAAGCAATATACTACTCATTATTAAGATATATATAGCTGTGGCATTTTATTAACTGATTCAGACTTTTGGTAGTCACCTCAATGCACTCTTTATATTAGACGCATGTTAAACTAATTATATATATTTATTTATATAGTTTAACAATCATATAAAATGTATATATGTAGGTAGCAAGCTTAGGCTATATGATTTGACACAGAATACAAAAACAAATAAATACTTGATAGTATTTACAGTATTGTATCTTATATTGCACCAAAAAGTTTTATCAATTCAACAATTTACAAAAGTTGAAATATTTATGTCTTTGAATTATGTTAACAATATGTAAGATTAAGTAGAAATTAAAGTTTATAAATAAAACTGCTTTCTTGTTATTTTTGCTAATATTTCAAGATAGATTTAGATTACCATTTCTTGTATTAAGCTGGTAGATATTATACATACACATTAGCTCATTCTGGTATTATTTTACTATAACAAATGATTGGTCAGATCACGTGATCAGTGGAAACATTTGAAAATACTATATAAATCAACTTTTTGGCATATTTTAGTTTTAGATCCCAAAATGGGACAAATGTAGTTTTTAAGTGCCATGCACTATACTATAACCAAAAGAGAAGCATGACAAAACTATTGTCCTTACAACAAGATTAATATTGTTTATATTACTGAAACCAAAATGACTAACAACAAAAATCTTTATTTTTACAATAACAATCTATATACATACTTTTGGGCTAATTTAGACAACTTAGCTAAAGGTACTGCTATCATGATCTATAAATATTTATAACTTTATATATATAACTGCCAAACATATTTTGGTAGAGCAGTTGCTATGGATCTTTTTTTCAAAAATAAAACCAAACTGTATATTATAGTTGTTTATCTTTTTTTAACTGATATATACAAATACAATGAAACACAAAATACAATCATCACATAAATCCAACAAGCTTAACAACTTAACCTTCATCTTATTTTATTTGGTAACTTTAATACACATGATGATATTAATAGTTCATTATTTAAATTCCAACTAATTAAATATCTACATCATTTCAACATATTTGATCTTAGTACACATGTAGATAATAAACATTATATATGATCAAACAACATTAGTCAAAGTTACATTAACTATATTTAAACTAACTTATTTAATATTTAATTCTTTCTTTCATATAAACTTAATGATAGCAATTCCTCTATACTCAGGGATTACTCTATCCTTATATCTACTTGAATTTTTATAAGTGCATATAGCAAACTACTATGATATCATATTGGCATTAGTTATAGAATTTTAACTACAAGGCTATGTTACCAGAAAAATAAACAGAATTTTTAAATCTTCTTTCTTATAACCTTAAGCTATACAGCATCCTACTTAATAACAATACTAATAAAAGCATTGAAACTACTTGGCACAAAATTGAACATGCAATCATTAATACTGCAACATACTTTATTCCTAACAAAATAATTTAAAAACATAGCTACAACTATCAATACTTCTCCTATTCTACATTACTTTATTTATTATTAAAGAAGCTTGATCATTTAATTAAAATTGTTAAAAGCTTTAATAACAACCTTAATATTGCACTAATTAATATTAAAGTTCAGATTATTAACAATAGATCTAAATGTAATCTTCAAGTTCTTACCTTATATATTGACTTATATAACTAAATTCAACATACACAAAAATATAAAAATAACTCTATTATGCTTATTATGTTAAAAACTTATTATTACTTTAACAACAAATACATCAAACAACTGAAAAAAGATGTAAAACTCTCTTAACATATTCTAAACAAGCTATTAATAGCATTTTTAACTGTTACAAACCTTCAATTTATTTTTTCAATATCAAACTTTTTGACCAACTAATTACAGAACTAAACCTTATCAAGCAGCATATACAATCTTACTTTTTTAACTAGATAACATATCAATCAATTGTTTAATATTTGTTTGATAACTTGTAGCACACACAATATCAATTCTAATTATATATTAACACTCAGTAATACAACTCCTTTAATTCTTCTATCACTAAAGAAGAAGTTCTTCAAATTATATCAAAACTTCCAAACAGAAAAGCCTATAGACCTATAGGCATTAGCTATGAAATACTTAAACATGCAAGTATTACTTGTATTAAAGCTATTACTGCTTTACTCAATCATTGCCTTACTTCAAGTCAGATTCTTAAACAATGAAAGCACAGCAGAATATATCCTATTTCTAAATGTAATATAAGTATTATTAAACATATTCAAAAAGTATATACAAAAATTATTACTACTAGGATTAGTATTGTGTTTTTACAATATCTTATTCTATTACTATATAATTATGTAGCTTTATCTAAAAGCAGCACATTTATATCTAACTATATACTTAGCAACCTCATTAAGAATGCATCATGGAATCAAAAACCAAACTGGCTTATATTTTAGAATATAAGCAAAGCATATAATTTTGTTAATCTAACTCTATTTTAAAAGTCTCTTCAATACCTTGCCTTACCTATCTTGATTACTAATACTATTATTAACTTACTTACTAATTGACATAACCAAGTCATTACAAATCTTGGTTTCTTCTTATCATATCCAGTACTTAATAAAATTAATTAGAGTAAAACTATTACTTTACTTTTGTAAAAAATTTATTATAACTCACTTATTACCTATATTTATAACAATTTTAAAGATTATATTATACAAGTCTTCTGGCCTACTAACCTTAAACACAAAACATATAACAAATCCAACTTACACTGTCCAGTCTTTGCTTATATGGATGACATTTTATAGATTGCATCTTTACAACAAGAGCTATCACAAATTCTATCAATAGCTAAATCTTTCTTAAATATAGCCAATATTCAAATTAACTCTTCCAAGTCCTTATTAACAACTAACAATATTTCAACTAACTATACTTCTATTATATATAATAATTATTCTCTTAATCTTCATTTATCAAATAAATCATTTAAATTTTTTGGATGCTGGTTCATACTTAATAACAAACAAATTAAACAAGCTAAACTTATTACTGCAGAATCATCACATTTTATTAAAATTGCAAGCACTAAACAAATTACTGATACATATGCATAATATATAATTAATACTGTTATTATCTTTACAATTGAGTATTATTTTTATAATATTGTTCTTAGTCAAAATACATGCAACAAAATTCTCACAAGCTATATAGAACTTGTTAAAAATAAAGCTAAACTTAATTGCACAATTCTTACAAGTATACTACTTCATCCTCAACTTTACAATATTTATAATATATAGGACATTCAATTACAACACTATATTACAAACTTTACCAAAAGACTCAATTCATCTAACCTTTTGAGAATAAGTGCAATAAACCATTAACAGGCTATATAAGAACAGAAGAGTTAAAAAACAATAAACAAAAAGCTAACAGAACTGAGAACACTAGAGAACTTAGAAATAGAACTAGTCAAAAAGCAAAAGTTAAAAGAGGATATTATGCAAGAAATAGTAGAAACTCTTAAAAGAAACATACTAAGAGACAAAAACAAGTACATAATATATACTAATAGTGTAGCAAATAAAAAGAATAGAGAAGAAACAACAGGTAGAAATATGAGTATAAGATAGATGCAAACAAATAAAACACAAGACTAGTTAAAAAAAAAGTAGTATTAGGAGTAAAAGGATGATTAATATTAATTACAACTGAGTTATTGGCAATATGAACAGCAATGTTAACTATACTAAAAGAGAAAAAGATAAAAATATTTACAGATAGTAATGCTGCAATTAGGAATATTAGTAGAGAGTTAGAATGCACAGATAGAAATAGAATACTCAAAAGAAAAAATATATTTTGAATAGTGAAGATAATTAACTTAGAACAAAAAACATATGAATAGAGTAGTTTAAGATAAAAAGTTATAGCAAAGATAGATGGAATGATAAAGTTGACAGTCTTGTAAAAAAAAGAACAATAAGCAAGAAGATTATATATATAAAAGAAGTCAGTTGCAAAAAGATAAAGTATGCTTGAAGTAAAAAAACAAATAAATAGATATGTTAGCAAGACTTCTATGCAAGCTAGTAACAAATATCAGACTAATAAAGAGAAATAACAGTGATTAAGAATTTAGAACTGATAACAGAAGTAATAATTTATAACAGGTATATTTTTGAAAAATACTAAAGTCAATCAAAGAAGTGCATTATATAACAAAAAGAAGTAGCACAAGAAGGAATATGTTCATAAAATATATATTGAAACAAACTTCTGACCTTGAAAGAACAAAACCAAATTTATATGTGAATACAGAATGCCAAATATGTTAAGATAAAGTTAAAGAAACACAAGAGCATCTGGCAGTATGCAAGAGACAAGTGAGGCTTTGAAAAAGAATACAGAAAGTGTCTATTACAATAGCATAAAAAGGATTAAAAAAAAAAAACTAGAATTCTACCTTATGTATTATATATAGCACTTTTTGAAAAAACAAAAATAAAAGAAATAGAAATAAAAAAAGCATTAATTAAGAGTCTAATTTCAAAAACAACTCAAGACAGGTTAGCATAGCTTATAGATACAAGAACAAGATAATAATTTGTCAATACATTGGCAAAAACAGTTTGAAATATCTTTTATAAATAAATTTGGAAAACACAATACAAAAAAGTCAATAAATATAAAAAAAGAACAGGAATAACTAGTAAAATGAAAAAAAAAATCAAAAAAAGAAAAAGAATTCAAGCAAAAGGAAAAAGGCTAGTCAGCAAAAAATAAAAGAAAAAAAAAAGAAAACAAAAGAGAAGAAAAAATGAATCAAAAATAAAGCCTAAAAGACAATTTTGGGGCTTGTTGTGAAAGAAGAAGACCCTTTTATTATAAACTTTAAGTAGTCAGACAAGCAGCTTACTTCTACTTGAAGTAATACAACAGGTTGCACTTAGGTACTATTAGAGTGGCCAGATAATGCTAGACTTAGTTGTTAGATACATCTAGAGTTAATATCTGCATCCAGATTTAATGATTAAATTCAGATTTGATAACTAAATCTGGATTAATTATTAAATCTGGATTTAATCATTAAATCTGGATTTAATCATTAAATCTGAATTTAATATTAAATCCAGTTTTATATTATAATAATAAATAATTTTGTCTTTTTAATCTTTACTAGAAGTAATATGAAATTATCAATCTAACTTTTTTTTACTTTTACATGATTTTTCAAGTAACACAATAGTATTTGTCCAGTGTCAAGTTGAACTTTCTGTTCAAAAGTTATAGTTTGTCAAATGATCAGTTTTGGGGTATTTATTTTTATTTACTGTATGCATTTTATAATTAATAAAGTTCTTGCAAAACATGATTTGTTGTTATAGCACATGCTTTAAAATGTATTTTGTGATTTTTTTTAGTAATTTTCATCATAACTAACACATTTCAAATTGTTTTAATTATATTTTCATAAATTTTGTCCTTTCTAATGATATTTGCTTAAATGCAATGACTATTGAAATAATGTAATTCTTTCATTTTACATTTAATGAGATTTTCTTTATTAGAGAGTGAATGAAATTACACACAGATTTATACTAATATGCTATTTTTTTTCTTAGTAATATATCAGTTTACTGTAAGGTCAGACCTTGATAAGTGCAATGCAATCTAAGAGATGATTAAAAAAAAAACTATTTTTACTTTAAGTTAAAGGTTAATAAAGACTTTAACAACTTGGACCTTGGGCAAATAGAGCTTGTACTTAAGGAATATATGTTTAGAGAAGTATAGTCTATAATAAAAAAATTGTTACACTTAGGAAAGTTAAATTAATAAGTAGTTTTATAATTGAACTTCATTAGAAGTATAATAATATGCTATATATTAACCTTTTTACTTATACTAAGAGTTATACATTTAGGAGTATAATTATATATCAATTTTTCTCTTTTGATTTAGAAGTATAATTATGTATTAATTCTCTTATTAAATGGTCTATAATAAAAAAAAATTGGTGTACTCAGGTAATTATTTATTTATAATTGAACTTTATTAGAAGTATGACCTTATATTATATATTAACTTTTTAACTCATACTAGGAATTATGCATTTAGAAGTATGAATTTTTTTCTTTCAGTCTAGAAGTATGATTATATATTAATTCTCTTATTAAATAATCTATAATAAAAAAATCATCACACTCAAGAAAATTAAACCAATAAGTGGTTTTATTAGTTTGAACTAAGTAATTATTTATAATTGAACTTTGTTAAGAGTATGACTATATATCATATATTAACTTTTTTAATCACACTAGGGATTATGCATTTAGAAGTACAATTATATTAAATTTTCATTTTCAATCTAAAATATGTATTTAGGAGTATAATCATATATATATTTTCACTTTGTTAGGAATTGCATATTTAAAAGTATAATAATATATTTAATAAATAATTTTTTAAAGTTTTAGTTTTTTTTCTTTAATTAATAAAAAATAATCATTATAAAAATGATCATTTTCCACTTCAAGTTTTATCAAAAAAAAATTTGTTCAATAATGCTTAATTCTAATAGAAAAAAAAGAAAACTTAATAAAAAAAAGGCTCAATCAACCTCATTTGTTAATTCTAGTAACTTATCAATTTTAAGAACAAATGCTACTTTTATATGACACTTTTATCAGGATGATGAAACTAACAACACAATTACATATTATAAGCTTTGTACTCAAGAGTTAGAAGACTTGGACACTTCTTCATATCTATATAGTAAATTAGGAAAAAGTACAGAATATTTAATATAGCATTTATATGATAAGCATCATATAACTTTAAAGAATTATAGACAATACCTCGATGATGATGAACAAGTAAAAAATTGTTAATCATTATAAAATAATTAAATTTTAAACAAGGTTTTTAACTTTTTTGGTTTTATTTTTTTAATAGCCCATAGCAGTAGCAGTAATCAACCAAGATCTAGAATCAATGGACATAGACTTACCTTTCTTTTTATCTAAACAGCAATAAGAATTAACAAAGCTTGTGATAGAGTTTATCATATATGATATTCAACCATTATATATATTAAAATGCCCATCTTTTCAAAAACTTCTAAATAGTTTTAGATCACAATATCAAATATCATGTGTAAATACCATAAAAAAATATATTTCTGAAGCCTATTTATGGGATACTGACCAGCTTAAGAAATCATTATTAGGTGTCAACACTGTTAATTTAACAACTGACTATGGACCACAAAAGGTAACCATGGTTATCTTAGTATTACAGTAACATGGTTATCTTAGTATTACAGTAACATAGTTAACATCTGACTTTAAGCTTCAGAAGGTGCTACTTTTAAACCATCATATGCCACATCCTTATACAGGTTAAGATATTTGTAAGGAGTTGTTTCTCATAATAAATAAATAGGAGTTAGTAAATAAAATAGATAATATTATAACAGATAACAGTTCAAACATAATAAAAGATGTTGAGTTATTAAAAGAAAATTACTTGCTTAATATTAATTGACAATCATGTGTTGTGCATACTCTTCAGCTTACAGTAAAAGAAGGTTTAAAACAAATTAAACCAATTCATAAATGACTCAAAAGCCTTCAGATATTTTTTAAACTTCCTAAGCAAGCATAATAATTGTATAATATGCAAATACAAATGCAATTGAATCCATTAGATATTATTCAAAGTGATGCTGAAGATGAAATTGTAAATTTACTTGAGGTTTTAACTGACTGTAAAACTCAGTGGAATTTTACTTGGCTTGAAAGCAAATTTTGTTATTGCACCTAGCAATGCTTATGCTTGCAACAATATTAAGAAATAAGTCGAATGCTTTATCTAAACAAGAAGGTGAAAAACTTTTTAAATTATGCTTAACTACAGAAAAACAAGAGTACATATAGTTAGATGATCATTATAAATATATTTTTTAATTACATGTTTTTAGCATAATCTAAAAATTGTTACTCAAGTTAACAACTAAATTTAATATTAAACTGAGTTTTACAATCAACCCTATTAAAATTAAATTCAATTCAGTTTTAAATTTCTACTTGAATTAATATATGTTTTTTTGATTATACTTAGGGTTTTATATTTTGTATTAATATATATTTTTTTAACAAGATTTGTAGGACAAATAGTTAATCTTTTAAAACTATTTGAAGAGGTTACAAGATATGTTTGTAGATCAAAGTATCCTATTCTAAATCTCATATATTCTTATATATGAATTTTAAAAAGTAAAGTTGCTTTAAAAAGTGAAAATGAAGAATCATTTGAATCTTGAATTAATCTTATTTATGGTTCAAAAGATCAAGATTCTAATGATTCAAGTATTAGTAGTGATAATGAAGCTGATATACCATCAGCAAGAAATCAATAACAATAGCAATATGCATATCAATATACACATCGATATGCATATAGTGTTGGTAATAAAAAACATAAAAATAAAAAATAAAAATTCTTACAGAGCTGGAGGATTCTAATACTGTAGAGTATTTATCAAATGTAAACTGGTCTGGGCTTTTAAAGAAAGCATGAGCTGCAATTTTTTTATTACTTAATGAGTTATGGGATAAATTCAATAAAATAGGTTTAAAAGCTTCTATCTTAGATCTATGTGTACTAAAATTGCTTTTATTTGCCACAGTTCAAGAGCAAAAAAATACAGAAGCCCAAATCCATACAGAATTATTACTATTAGAATCTTAATTAACTAATTCAAATAATAATAAAGAGATAGAAAAAAATTCAGTAAATATAAATGAAGACTCTCAAGATTCTTTAAATACAGAATTATAGAGGTTATTTTCAATATTTGATCAAGCTATTGCTAAAGATGAATTCACATGATACATGAAAAAGCAGATAGCTTATAAAAATCAGAATCCTTTAACATTATAGGAAAATAGACATGTAAGCTTTCCACTATTTAGTCAACTTGCACGCAAATATTTATCCATCTCTGCCATTTCAGTTCCATCAGAATGGTTATTTTCTAATGCAAATAATCATATATCAGCTAGAAGAACTCACCTTGACTCCAATTTAGTAGATAGAATATTATTTTTTAAAAAATTTTACATTTACATTCATTGTTTCTACCTAATTCTTAATTTTTTATTGACTTAACCCAATTTTAACATAAATTTAATATTAATATTACATAAAAATTAAATGTTTCATCTGCTTGTAATAACTATCTATTATTCACAAGAATATAATTCTCCAAAAATTTTTTTTTTTTCATATAGCTTTAGCATAGAATCATCTCTTTAATATTATTACTAATTTTTTACTATTTTAATATAATCTGTAATGTTTTAATTTGAATATTAAATCTGTTAAAATTAGTGATTTATGCATTAATAGCTTCTATACAATAATTTAAGAGAATGTTTACCACTATACTTATTGCATCATTATAAAAAGGCAGTTCAATTACTGGTACTATATTGGGCCTATAACTGTTAAAAATATGTTATTCATACTCTATAATATGTATTTAGTTTCAAAGTAATACCTGCAATCATTGTTGATTCTAGAACCTGATTTTAAAATAATTTGGAAGTACACTGAGGCTAAATAAAACTCAAGAGGAGGTAAGGTATTCATATTTTGTAAGTAAAGTATTTGATATAAAAAAAAAACCCCCAAAAAAATGAGACTCCAAGCATCAATAGTAACTCAAATACAAGTTAATTAGAAACTTAATCATGAAGTTTAGGGATCAGTATTCCAAAATTACTATTTTGTGTCTAATGTTTATCTATTTTTCTTCTTATTCTCAAGAATAAAACTAACAAGACACAATCTGTCAACTAATCACATAACTTGTTAACTAGTTAAATCCAAATTTAACAATAAATCTGAATTTAATAATTAAATCCAGATTTAATTATTAATTCAGATTTAATTATTAAATCCAGATTTAACAATTAAATCTGGATGCAAGTATTAACTCTAGGTATATCTATATAATTGCAATAGTAATTTCAAAAATCTTAATAAAGTACTAGCATAACTATTTAAGTTAAAATAAAATAAAATAACAAAAAAGAGCTTTGATTAGTATTATAAAATATAAAAAAGGCCTTCAACTCAGTATTACTAAAAGTATTAGATTTAGTACTTAGAAGACTTAAAATATCAAAAATAGTAATTATCTTTATTTTAAATTTATATAAAAATTGATAATCAAAAATTATTACAAATATAAATACAATAGCAATATTTAAAATTAATAATGAAATTGAACAAAAAGAATAATTTTATCTTTAGTATAGAGAATATTTTATAGTTTATTTTTAAAAAGAATTCAAAGTAATTTAAGTTTAGATTACAAAATAAATACTTAAGACAATAATAGTGAAAGATCAAATTTATAAAAAAGAAACAATTAAAAGCAAACTATAATAGCTTTTGCAAATAACACAATATAAATTATATTAAGTAAAGTTTAAATAAAAATTATTGTAATAGCAAAAGACTTTTTTAAGCTAAATAATACACAAATTAATAAAAAAATTATTATAATAAATACTAAAAAATTAAAAAAAATAGAACAATTTGTTTTAATAAAGAGTAGATTTAAAAAGAAAACAAAAATATAATAATTTAATTTTTAAAAATATGCCTAAATTGCAAACTAAAGAAGTCAGTAGTTAAAACAAAAGTCAAAGAAATTATAAGATTATTATATAAAAACTAAATTCAAAAAAGCTGATATTTAGTTAATTATTATATATTAATAACATATATATTATATTTATATTAAGTTATATACTATAAACTACAAAGCTATCAAAAAATATAATAAATAATATATATATATTAGTAATAAAAATAGTAAAAAGGAAAATAAAAATAAATAAGAAATAGTATGATATATTATAGATATTTAAATAACATTAATTTAGTTATTATATAAACAGATTATTAGTTTGCATTATTGATTAAACTTAACAGATACTATAAGATATTAACAAATATAATAATAGAAGATAAGCTTTTATTAATAGGAGCATCAAAAAATATATAACATAATAATATTTCTAAAGCAAATAGTAAATTATAAAAAATAATTTAGTATGTTTAACAATACTTTAAACAAAAAAAATTACAAATAGTTTTAAATTTTAATTATAAAAATGCAGTTTAACTATAAAAATATATAAAATATTTGAAACAAGCTTTATTCTATTAGTTGTATATACATTAAAAAAACTTAACATAGGGATACAAATTGCCAACTCTTTCTAATGATCACTTGTATCAAAATTCTGCTAAAGAAAATTTAATTTTCTCTAACAATTTATAATTAAATATATCTTTTAAATAAAATAAATCTGTTCTTTATTCTATTTTACATATATATACAAAATTTTA